TATAGCATTGGCTTTACCTTTTGTTGCTTGTTTCAAAAGAATTCTAAGTCCTCTAATCCTCTGAAAAGCCAAATACATTTATTAGGGCAGCCACTCTAGCAAACAAGTGTCCCCTTCCAACAAGAACAATACTCTTAATATCTGAGTGGGGTGCACAGAGCCCCCAACATGTTGGGGTGATTCATGATGCCCGCCTGAGGCTCTGCTCTGCAGAAATGGGTGTTGCTGTTGTGGTTGCTAAGTTTGAAAACTGTCCATGCAACTCTTTTTGTGCCCGCATGTAGTCTCTCACTCCTACAGAAGGCATTTGTAACCCTGGAAGATGCTGCTTTCCATTACTGGTACATGTGATGGTTAGAAGCAATCTCTTCTTTGCTTCCTTTTGAAGCCATGTCTGACTTATTTGTTGTTTTGCAAATGGAAAAACCTCTGCAAAAAATATAGAAATATAGTTCATGAGAACTTTTTGATTTAACAAATTCTCACATCATATTTTTTGCTATTTTATTCTCTTCATCCCCAATCTAGGATAACATTACATTAATTTTATTATTTGGAAATTGGTCTGTCAAACCTTAGGCTGACATAGCAACATTTTTCAGCTGCTGAGAATATTTGGAATTTTTAGAACTTACTGTAGGTATTGTTAAAAAAATAGCTCCTGGCATTGGGCTTTACTGAGTGAGGTCAATAGCAAAGCATTCATTTAACAAAAGGCAAACAAGGGAGATTATTCCTTCCTAATTCTTCAGCCCTTTCCTCAGGAAAGCCTCTTACAATTAACTTTCTCTCCCAAAATTAAAAATTCTTAGTAGCAATCTGTAAGACTGTGTTTGAAGTCTGCGGATACCTAGAGGCATCTTTGTAAATAAAAATGATGCAATTTTCTTTGTATCATTACAGCTTTCACAATTATTATTTTAAATTAAAAGTAACTTTCAAAAAATAGGGAGCAAGGCCAAAGGAGATGTGAATAGGCTTGTCATTTATTAACTCTTAAAATAAAACATTATTTTTTTAAAAAAATAAAAATAAATGCCAAGATCTCAGGAAGTTGACAAATCTCAGAATGCATTGGGAGAAAATATCTTAATCTTACCAATTTTTAGCATTCTTAAAGAGTTGGGGTATTTTCAGGATCTGGTTTTCTTTCAAGATGTTGGATAGAGTATCTTCAATAAATGTTGAATGTCCTTAAATGTTGAACATTGTCAATATCTCCTTTAAAATTCCAGAAAGTAGTTCGTTGTTTTAAATGAGAAAGCATCTGATCATATGAAACCTGTTCCATTGTTTGAATAAATCATACTGAGGCAGTATGGAAAAATACCATAAAAATATTTAGTAAATTAGCATGAGTTATATGTTGCAAGCTTTAGACAAATATTAGGAACTGGCTGAATGTGATGACCTATGTGCAACTCTGTTAAGAAACATATTACAAGAAGTGTCAACCGAACAGATGGTGTAAGATAATACCCGTGTATGGCAATGTTGTAAGATGACCAATTGTATGAACGTCTCCTTTCCTACTGTGTGAACGTTAGATATAAATTAACATCTTGCCACCCATCTGAACATCCCCACCAATTCATTCAACAATTATCACCTTATACAGGTACAGGGAGTTAATGACAATACTAATCAGCAACAGTATTACCACCACCCAAATAGTTGGCATGAGGCCCTTTCTAATACAATACCATGAAACAAAATAGGGTCTACAATATCCCAGAATCACTGGGAGTTGGTCAGCACATATATTTAATAAATAATAATAATTAACATGAATTGAGTCCCATATATTTAATAGGCTGATTTATATGCTCCATCATATAATCTGAGCATCTATAAAGACAAACTTTGTGAAAAAAGAAGTATTATAGTTGGTATATATAACCCTAACCCTTGCCTTTCAGTGAAATGCACCCATGTGATCATGGACTCTCAAAATTGTTGTAGGCCACACAGAGTTGCTTTTTGTGAAATGGGAAGCCATATAAATGTGATTAATAAATAAATAAAGCAGGTGATGAAAAAGATTTCCACAAGTACATTGTGGCTTCAAAATCTAAGGGATTGGTTTGGACAAAACTCAGCAGCACTTTTCTGGATCGCCAACGTCCGATAATGGATGAAGAAGAAGAAGAAGAAGAAGAAGAAGAAGAAGAAGAAGAAGAAGAAGAAGAAGAAGAAGAAGAAGAAGAAGAAGAAGAAGAAGAAGAAGACGAAGAAGAAGAAGAAGAAGAAGAAGAAGAAGAAGAAGAAGAAGAAGAAGAAGAAGAAGAAGAAAACAGTCAATGTATCCCCAATGCTCCATCGATCTTGCAAAGATCCACTCCAGATGTTTTTTGTATTGATGGCCGTGCCCAGAACATTTCTAAGGGGAATATATGTGCATGTGTTTGTGAATATGAGGGATAACGTGAGACTGAGCTGTCTAAACACACAGGTAAAATTATAGAAATTATATCTGTCTAGATGGGCTCAAAACACTAGCATCAGCTTTGCTACTCACCACTAGCTCTTTTGTTTGTAGGCCTCTTGATTTTTATTCTGACTAAAGCACTGTAGAGGAATTTGGCTTCAACAACTCTGCCTAAAGGGAAATATTCCACTCTATGGATCAAAAACAACTGAATCTTCTCTGTTTGTTCTATGTACTCTTGTCTGAGGGATTATATTCACCCTTCCCTTCTCCAATTACTTGAGCTTTCTCTTATTAGACTTGAAAAACAAGGACCTTTATTGTTTATGAACTAAGTACTAAGAAAGTTCACACTTTGTGATGCATCATTCAGTTACAAAGAAAGAAATTTATACCTTTTTGTAATGCATTATACAGAATCAATTATTGATTGACTTCTATGACAAGAATGCCTGATCAATTTAAGTCCAAGAGAAGATATAATCAATGAGCGCTATGTAGTACTGTTTGCAGTTGAGAAGAAATATTTAAAGAATATACAGTAAGTCTTAATTTTGTATGTAGAAACAAATCATTCTTTTTTTTTAAGATGCACACACACGTGATCTAGATTAAATCAAAAGGAATATCTAATCCAGCATGAATGATTTTGTTGTTTTAAAGTACTTCTACCTGACCTGAATTTCCCTAATTTCAGTCACATTGCAGAACCCTGTTAATTTTCTTGGTATCATGAATTATTTTGTAAAGTTTTATTGGCTCCCTTCTTACTCATTTTTAACCTAAAAATATGCAAACACAATCAGTTAGAGTGCAGTACTGCAGGCCACTTCAGCTGACTGTGTTCAGCAGGTCAGCGGTTCAAATCTCACTGGCTCAAGGTTGACTCAGCCTTCCATCCTTCCGAGGTAGGTAAAATGAGGACGCAGATTGTTGGGGGCAATGTAAATATATATATACATTGCTTACTGGTGTACACCGCTTAGAGAGTGCTTGCACTTAAAGCGGTATATAAGTCTCAAAAATAAATAGATAGATAGATAGATAGATAGATAGATAGATAGATAGATAGATAGATAGATAGATAGATAGATAGATAGTCTGCTTTTCTGTACTGCTTACAATTGCCAAATCGTAAATTGCTTTCTGGAGCCACAAAATCGGTTTAAAACCTATTGATTTAATTTCAAGTTAATTTGACTGACACCTTTGATTGTAATGATAATTCCCTAGTGTTGAAAAATCCTTTTGAAACTCTTCTCTATCCTTTTCATTTTAAGTACAGTACCAAAATTTCAACCTTGGTCTTATTTGTGATGGCTACTCTTCACTGTGATACATCTATTAGTTTCCTGTAATTGCTGCTGAAACAAGAAATTCCTTCTACTCATCCTTTGAAAGAGAAGCCATGATTTTTGGGCAATCCTAATACGTTATATACTTTATAAAGTATTTACTATAAACAGAAGAACAGCAAATATATATAGAAGAACAGCAAATATAAAAACATGCATCCATTCATTATATCCATTCATGTAAGTGTATGTAATCCTCAGAAATATGCACATCTTAATATATGTAAAATGGTTAAAATGTAGCTTGGCTCCCTTTGTTGTATATAACTTTGCGTTTTTTTTTTATTTCCGACAATTTGCCACAACAAGAGGGTAACAAATAAAAACACAGTGTGCTTAATAGTTTTATACAATAGAAATCTGTATTAGCTGGCTTGCACAACATGTGAAACTATAAACAGTGATTCACAATTGTTGGGATCATACAATCAAGACTGGACAAATTATTATGATTTGGCATGTTATATAGCCCATTTATAAAAAAGAAAGAAGGCAACTAGCTGCAGGCTGTCTGTGAGAAGGCTCCCTTACCTTTTTGGCAGGTCTGAACTAAAGGCGAAATAACGACGTGATTAAACAAATACAAGTCTGCTAAAACTTGCAAGACATTTTCTGTATGGCAACCCACCAACATTATCTCAATTATGTTTTTAAAAGGACCAGACTTTACTTTTAGTAACGTGTTAGAAGAGTAACGTGTAAGAAGAGTAACATGTATAATTTCATTTAAAGAGTTAATGCTAAATAAAGCGGTCTCCCATTACTTGCACTTGAAAAATGTGTGCGTTTGTGCGCGCGCGTGTGTGTACAGATATAATTTAGCTCCCTAATTGTAACTTGCAACACATTGAAGACCTGCATAGTGCTTTTCTTTGAAGGCAGTGAGACATGGAAGCGTTGGTAGGTATCCTAACGTGAGAGGGAAATAAACTTCAATAAATAAATAAGACTACGCTTGTTCGCCTGAGAGGGCTAGACGTCATCCTGTTTATTTAATTAGCAAGCGAGGCTAACTTGCCCGTGTTTTTCCAGAGAGAGAGCGCCGCCCCGTCACCCACGGCAGCGGAACTAGCTGCACTCCGGATAAGCAGGAACGGTTCGGAGCCTCCGCTACCACGCGGGGGGGGGGAAGAGGGGGGAGAAACAGGTCGCGAGAGGCAGAACCGGGACCGCCGGGAGAAACGACTCCGGCGACTTCTCGCGAGAAAGCTGTCGTCGGCCATTTTGCCATTGATTGGCGCAGACGGCGAGGGGGAGGGTGCCTTCGCTAAGTGGAAGGGTAGGGGCCAGGCAGGGGAAGGACGGCGGTTAGAAAGAGACAAGCGGAGGGAGGAACATGAGGATGAGTCTCCCGCGACACCCTTCGCCGCCTTCTCCCTCCTCCACCTCCTTCTCTTCCTCCGGAGGCTCCTCTTGCTGACGACGACTCGCCGCCCGATTCCCCCGCCGGCCCTAGGCTGCTGCGCCACTGGCCATGGTGCCCAGCGAAGACAACCAGCTGGTCCCTAAAGAGGTGAGCGCTCCTTCGCGCACGCTTCTTCGGGACAGGCAGCGCGCTTGCGGGCGGCAAAGAGGGAGAGGCCAAGCGACGCCTCTGCCGCGCAGGAGAAGCCGGGCGGAGGGCGAAGAGGCGCGCAGGGAAGGCCTGTTTTGGGGGGGGGGGGTTAGGTAAAGGAGTGCCAGGCGGCTTGGCTGAGAATCCCCTCGCCACAAGCGAGCTGGCGAGTGGTGGAGACGGACTCGCTGCGAAGCCTGGCAGTCGGGCGGAGAGAAGCGGCTAGGTTCCAGCGAGCGGCATCTTAGGAAAGGCCTAGCCGCTTGGAGAGGCCCTGCGGCAGGCGCTGGAAAAAGGACGCTTGAGAGAACATTATCGCAAGAGGCGGCAGGCCGGAGGGTTTAGGGGAAGAAGGGAACCCCTTGGGTGAGCAGACAGAGATTAGGGGTTGTCATTCCGGCTAGGGAGGTAAGGAAAGACCTTTGGGAGACTTTCCGTTTTTCTCCTCAAGGGCAGCTTTGATGAGAAAGAGCAGTTAAAACGGAGAATCGTTTGCTGGCTTTGCGTTCACCCCAAAGAGATAGAAAAGCATCCTTGGAAGAGTTGAAGGCAATTATGGTTAATGAGAACTCCAAAAAAACAAAGCCACGGGCTTGCTCTCTTGGTGTTTGCAGGTGTTTTGCAGGTGTGGATAACAGTTGAAGGCCTGTTGGAAAGGGGAGCTTCTTTTTCAGTTAGTTTAAGAACTAAAGGATGTGAATTACAGTGGATAGTTTTTGTATTTTTAAAAAATATATGTTTATATTCTTGCAATTGATACCACATCAGTTAAAGTGAGCTTTAAGCTTATAAATTGCACTTATTTTTGTGAGTATCATTATCAAGGTTATTGATTTTATCCCTGATAGTTTTATTGACAATTCAATGATGTAAATAGTATTGGAGTCAGATTGGTCTAGTGGTTAAGGGGGTGGATTGAGAGACCATGGAAGCCTTGAGTTTTCATCCTGCTTTAGGCACAGAAGCTGACTAGATGTCTTTAAGCTAGACTATCTCTTTCAGCCCTAGGAAAAAGATACTGGCAAGCCATTTCTGATAATGTTGCCAGAAAAACTGCATGGACTTGTTCCTGCAGTCACTGGGAATCAGACTTGATAGATAGACCGTAACAACAAAACTGTAGTAGTAGTAGAAGCAGCAGCAACCACATCAGTGTTCCACATAAAACTGTAGCTGTCAGATTTTATCTTTTGAAGGGATCTTATCTATTCAACTTGTCCGCCATAGAATTACTATGAATAGTAAAGGATACTGTGATTTCTTCAGTGGCCTATAGAATGTGTGCTTAGTTCCCTGAGTTGGAATTAGGCTTAGTGCAGACATGTCAAACTCATGATGTTGTGCAACATATCGGAACTTTTTCCCCATTGCCGGCAATGGGGTGGGCACGGTTTCATCAGGACGTGTCCAGCCCGCGGGCCAGCAGTTTGACACCCCTGGCTTGCTGGATCTCATATTTGTCCCTTGTGATTGAAAGTTCATTTGAGAAGACAAATATTATTATACGCAACAATGTGAAATCACAGGTGCCAGTTCTTTAGCCAGTGTTGGCTTCGAATTCACTTTGAATTCTTCCCAGGAACCTAAAATGTCATAAGGTACTGGCGTAACATATATGCAGTTCCAAGCAATGTGACCTTTTGTAATTGAAAAAATGGAAATTTTCTCAATGCACAGATTTTCTAAGTGTTGTCCAGGCTTTTTGATATGGCACCCAGTTCCTGATAACCACTAGAACCACCACTGCCAATTTATGCCATAATCTTTCAACTTTGATTTTTCAGATCTTGATACATTGTGATCTTCTCCAATTCTCTCTCCTCTATTCTACATCCTTTGGTATTATCCACACTTTCTACTTTTCAACCATAATTAAATCTGATGTGTTGTGCTCTGAAACTTTATCAGTTTGATAAAGCAGAACATAGCAGAACATCCAGATTCAGCCATACTTTCATTCCATACAGCATTAATTTTGTGAACTCTCACGCTTCTTCCTTCCATTATATATTCAAGATGGTCAGTATTTAATATTTATTTGTTATGTATATGTAGGGGTGTGGGTCTATACATACGTTGTGTATAGTATGTTTAGGTGTGTCTCATGTATGTGAGAGCAGGCAATTAAATTTCATTCTTGATGTGTGCTGTTGTGCTTACAGTAAAAAAATGACAAAGGTTATCTTATCTAGACATGTAATATTTATTAAGAGATGGTTGGATAGTGTCATTGAGACAATGAACATGAATTTGGGCAAACTCTGGGAAACAGTGGAGGACAAGGAAACCTGGAATGCTATGGTCCATGGAGTTGCGAAGAATTGAACACAACGTGGTGAACAACATTATTATTAGATTTTTATCTTTTTGATATACAATATATTTGATCATTTCAGAGTGACAAACATATCTAAATTACTTGCCTCCTATTTTCTATGAAGTGTGTTGGGCTGAGAGATAATGATTGACCCAAAGTCACCCAGAAGGCCAAAGGGAGGCCTAGAGCTCATAATCCCCTAGTTCCTAAAACAGCACCTTAACCACTACATCAAACTGAGTCTCAGTTTACATTCCCTCTCCAACTTTATCATATAGAAAAATAATCAGATTATAAGCAATGTAATAATTCTCAGGAAAGCTGATATCCTGATTTAATCTTTTTTATTTGTAAACTGCCCAGGTCACTTAGGTGAGATGTATGGTGTAGAAATTAGATAAATACATTTTGTTATTCATAAGTCCTGGTTCCCATAAGCACATTTCAAAGAAAAAAATAGCGTAATCATCTGTAGAGGTCACTTGTACATCAGACTAAATATGTTGCCACTTTAAAAGAAAATGTAGGTTAAGTATACAGAACTACTGTCAATACCCTTGCATGGTAACATATTGGGTCAAATATGCAGAAATCTTATATTAGGTTTTGATATTGAAGCAACTTATAGATGTGTGACAGCTTAATATAGTAAGTGAATTTTACTGTAAATATAGTGTCATATTTATTTTGATACCAGAGAGAATGGGGGGATATTTAATATTTAGATGATGACACAACGTATAATTACAGTTCATTACTGGAATTCTGATTCCAAACTTATTAATGTATTTAGTAAAATACATCTGTTTTATGGCATTAATGTAAAGACGTTTCATAAAAAGCACATAAAGTAGCTGTTTCTGTAAACAGTAGTTTCCTGTTGTTCCACCATATGCACTATAATATTGTTACATCTTGTTTATCTTGATGTTGTAGTATTGTGTATTTCTTAAACTCTAGCCAGCATTATTCAGCATATTTCGGTCTATACCAGTGGTTCTCAACCTTTTTAATGCCGCGACCCCCCAACCGGTCGTAAGTCGAGGACTACTCAACCGGTCGTAAGTCGAGGACTACTCAACTGATGCAGCACCGTTTGCAGAATGGGACTTTTGGTGGGCTCAGCAGGGCAGAGACAGCCTGGACAATTCCTATTGGCTTTTGAAAGCCAATAGAATTAGACTCTATTCAAGAGAGTCTATTCTATTGGCTTTCAAAATCCAATAGAATAAAAGGGAGTAGCACAGCTAAGGAAAAGGGGGAAAAAATGGCGGACTGCATTGTTTGGCGACCCCCGTGAAATGGTCGTTCGACCCCAAATGGGGTCCCAACCCACAGGTTGAGAACCACTGGTCTATACCTTAATTCAACACATTGGTATTAAATCAATCTTCTCCAACTATGATTCATTCCAGGTGTATGCACTTCAGTTTCTAGAATTTTCAGCAGTGACCGTGCTAGCCGGGGACTTCAGAGAATTGAAGTCCACCCATCTGGAAAGTGCCCAACTTGGGTAATGCTGTACTAAATGATAGCGAGGACATTATTTTGGCTGCACTTTTAGTTTTAAAAGTAATGGACAGCTCTGCCTATAAAGTTTAAAACCTTAATAATATGTAATGATTATCTAGAGACATACATAGATCACAGATATATACTGAATGAGAGAGAAACGAATAATAGTTAAGCATTACTTGGTGTCCAAGGAGTAAAGGGATTGTTTGGCAGTAATTATAGATAACTAGCCTAGGCTGGAATGATTAATGGTAGAGTCTGGCTGTGATCATTGTGCTTCTAGTTATAAAAGATAGCATTTAGACTATCAATTTAAACAGCATGAGCCATGAGGATTTCAAATGCTTTCCCTTTTTTGGGAAAGGGATTCTGGAGAAAACAGGAAATAGTAATTTTCCCAAATCATAGATTTTGAAGAAATCAGTTACTTATATCTATAAATAATATAAAGAAAGAAATACTTTATAATGTTTCATAATGTTATCGTTCTGGTTTTCTTAATTTGAGGTAATCCTGCTTTAAAATTAATCCCATGTATGTTTATTGAGAAATAACATCAGAATTTATGAATTATAAATTCATAGCCAAATTATAAAAAATATTTTTAAATTCAGCAGAGCTTACACTATTCCATATTTGAATAATGATAGTGACAGGAAAAACATGGAGTGTGATGCTTTACTTTCTCCCTTTAATGATTGCTTAAGAAACATGGTAAAAGCTTCATAACAACCAAGAATGCTTTTATTTAATATATTCATGTGTAATTAATTCTTAAGCATTCGTTCAGAGTCCATGTATTAAACTTTGAATACCTGTTTCACAACATGATTGAAAACAAATTATTGATTTCTTTTTGAAGTTTAACTAATCCTGAGGTAGCAAAAGAAATACCACTATAAAGAAAAAGACACTTTGATATAACTAGTAACTACCATATATTGTAGCAGGGTTTGTATCTGAAAGCACCAGGGAGGTGTAGAATTGTTCTTTGCATCCTATGCATTTATGCAGTAATGGTGAAATGAGGCTAGTATGAATGTTTATAAAATAGACCCTGGAGAAGCATGTGATTTGTTATTTCTGTGTGTCCAGTCATACAGACATCATCTCTTTGGGTAGGAAATCTTCCTGTATTGGCCTTCAAGGATAGCTGAAGGGAGGACATGGCATCATGCCAGGGTAAAGATCTGATTTTGTGTGGTTAAATACTTCGAGTTTAGTTAAATATGTCATAAGGGAGGCAAAGTATCTGTTGGATTCACTGGCAATAAAGGTAGGAACTTGTCTATATCAAATCGGTGCTCTCTACTGCTTTGAACTGTTTAATGAGTGCTTTGGCCTGATAACATCCCATGCTTTGTAGAACACCTGGGTTATCAGATAAGAGTACACCACACACTATCCTCTACTTTGATGAGGTCTATCTCTAGTCTCAGAGTGGCCATTATAGACCCCTTTTTGGATTTGAAGAGCCAGTCTTAGAAATTTGGATTGAACAAGCTCTAATAGTGCAAAATTGGTGAAGAGGCCATAAAGAAGCTATCCAGTTGGCTTGGCGTCAAATGATATGAATGCTGCAGGTATATGTTTTGAGAAATTTAAGGATGGCAGATCATCGTCTACATAAAGTAGAACAGAGTGTCTTCCAGCAAGTTTTGGAGAGTGAAAGTTGTGTTAATATAGAAATTGAATAACAGTGAAGTTAATATAGAAATTGAATAACAGTGGGACCAATATGCAGCCTTGCTTGATGCCTTTCTCAGTTCTAATTGCAATGAGGTCCCTTTATATAACATATATATTAGATATAATAAACATCAGGCATTGAAGATTACCTCCAGTTTTTCCCATAATTTAGCTCAAAATACAAAAACAAAAGCTACTTTGAAGTTCGTGAAGGCAGCATGAAGAGAGGTATTGCAGGAGGATATTTTTCAAGTAGATGTAGGAATACTAGGCAGTAATAAATAGTGGATTGGTCTTCCCTAAAGCTGGCTTGCTTTTCTATAACTATATTTTCCTGTCCCAACCAATCTTGGAATTTTCATTGTATGTGTTTTGCATAGACTTTGCTGATTGTGTTGAAGAGGCTGATCCATTTATAACTAGCAGCATCATCCTTTTCCCTTTTTTTATATAGAGAGAAATGATCAAAAGTCTCTAATCCTTGGGGATTCAGCTATAGATGTCAATGCAGGTAAAAAGTGAAGCCAGAGTGGGGAATAGAAGCCCAAGTTGTTTTTAATGGATTTTGAAGAGATTAAATCTTCTAAGACCTTCTCTAGTCTTAGTTACGCATCAGAATTCTTGATCTCTGTCATTGTCGCTGGTGCGCATATTGGCAGATTTTCTTAGTTTGGCTAGGATGTCTACTTCCAACAGAGATGCCATGTAGAATTTCTGAAAATATGCCTTTCAGGTCCCATGGGGTATGTGACAGTCCTCTATAGAATGGCCATTTCTTTGGAAGCTTGATGTGACATGCCAAAATGAATTGGGTCCAGTTATTTTTTATTGGCTTCTTTTTTGTTATATGCCAGAAGTTGCTTGTAGTATCTCTTCTGCTGGAGGAGGTCCACTGCAGTTGTCAACTTAATATTGGATACATACACCTGTAATGTTAACAAGAGGTTTTTGGCATTAACACAGTCATTAAACCATGGCTTGAGTAGTGCTATTTTTGCTTCAAGGGCGCATTGTTACTATGAGTTAGATGCTGGTGGAGAGGTAAGGATGTTAGAATTTTCCAAGAGTGCTTCAGGAGATTCATCTGATATCGGGGCAAACTGAAGGCTTTGTAGGTGATGTGAAGTCACTAGCTCAGTTATTATTTGATTTTGAGCAGGGGGTCTACTTTGCATGGTACTAATTCCTTCTTGTTGGCATTAGAGAGGATTGGTGGCAGTCCTCAGTATGTATTTCTTGAGTGAAGACATTTAACTGAAGAAGGGTTGTCAAATTTAGGCATAACTTTTAGAATTTTCTAAGAAGAGAAATTTACACCCAGTTTGCAAATATTAATTGATATGACTTTCTAAGAGTAAGGTCCTATGGTTAATTATTGGTTGTGTAAGGTGCAGATGGCCTGGCCATGGACCAAATTGGGCAGGGACTGAGGGGAAAGTTTCTGGAGGGGTAAGTGTGGGCTATAACATCTAGTGATAAGCAAGGGGAAATATGATAGGATATGGGGTGGGCTGCTGTTGAGGACTGTGCTACAAGAATATTGTTCCTAGGTGCCTTCCAACATACACCCACTCTCATTCCCAAGCCCCGTTTGGCAGATCTCCAAAACTCTTAAGTTGTTGATTGCTGTTGCTGAATCTTAGATTTGTCTATAAGGCCACCCTTATCCATGACTTGATCTATGAATGAAAGAGCTGACCTGGTATATATCATTGAAATCAAAATAGGACCAAAATGGAAGGTTACCCTTTCTGAGATATGCCCTGTTGAGTTTGGAGTGTGGCATCAGCTGAGACTGCAGGATAGAGGTGGTGCAGTGGCAATGGTCATCCACAATAATTGAGAGACATTCAGTGGCACTATCCAATAGATTACTGGATGTGAGACCCTATTAGGTTGGGCTCTAGGATTCAGTTGGGATTATTGCTATTCTGCCAGTTTCCTTGCTGTGTGGCAATATTCCTTTCTGATTTCCTTAATAATATAATAATAATAGTAAAGTTGGAAGGGACCTTGGAGGTCATCTAGTCCAACCCCCTGCTCAAGCAGGAAACCCTGCTCAGGCAGGACAAATGGCTGTCCAGTCTCTTCTTAAAAACTTCCAGTGTTGGAGCATTCACCGCTTCTGGAGGCAGGTTGTTCCATTGGTTAATTATTCTAACTGTCAGGAAGTTTCTCCTTAGTTCTAGGTTCCTTGACTCCAGATTAGTGGTAGAGTTTCTCTAATTTATGGTCTTGAAGGACTTCAATTTGCCTTCTTCAGGAATGGACTTGAAAGTTCATGGGCCTATAGCAAGTCATACATGGCTAATATATAATAATAGTCATGTATGTGACCTTTTATTTCTGCCTGAATAGCGCCAAGTTGTTCAGAATTGGGGAGATGCTGGTTTCTCCCCTGTCATAGTCAAACCACAGTTCTGAACTTGTAGTTCTCTGGTGTCACTCACCCCTCCTTATACAGAGGCTGGAGTGACCTTTTATTTATATTAGTCCATACCAGACAACTAGTGGATCTGGTTGGGTTTCAGAGGGGGCTTAAGGTTATTCCAGACGGTCTGCTGAAGCAGTTGGCTTGTTTAGTGATCATGCAGTTACGATGATGGTAAAAAAATGAATGAATTGCTACTTCCAAGCAAGAACTGCCTGTACTGTTGAGAAAGCTGTCCAAACTCTTTCAAATGTATAGAATACTGGGGTTGCTAGTATGTTTTGGGCTTTTCCTGACCCATTTTGGAGATACACAAAAGTATTTTAGGAGGTTTAGTATTTCAAGTGGTATTCCAGTTTCTTCACTTATTTTAGTATATCAACTTTGGTAAATTTTCTATATCTTTAGCTTTTTAGTCCTATATTAAACGCCCATATATAGGTAGTCCTCGACTTCCAACAGTTCAAAGTTTCAACAGCACTGAAAAAAGTGACTTAGGACCATTTTTCACACTTATGACCATTGCAGCATTCCCATGGTCCCGTGAACAAAATTCAGACGCTTGGCAACTGACTTATATTTGTGACGGTTGCAGTGTTCCGGCGTCATGTGACCACCTTTTGCAACTTGCTGAATAGCAAAGTCAGTGGGAAAGTCAGATTCACTTAACAACCATGTTACTAATTTAACAACTGCAGTGATTCAACTGGCAAGAAAGGTCATAAAATGGGACAAAACTCACTTAACAAATGTCTTGCTTAACCATCAAAATTTTGGGCTCAGTTGTAATCGTAAATTGAGGACTACCTGAACTTTTTTGTAGAATTAAACCATTCTTCTCCCTTTTTTTGATATTAAATGTTCATTTGTGTGAGAAAATGAATTTTACATTGACTTACATTAGTTTTTTTAAAAGGTGAATTTTTAGGTAAATATTTGATACCATAATCATACTATTTTGTGTTTATATATCTTAGGAGATGCTTTGGAGATGCAGACAGAATATATTTGATGAAATGAAGAAGAAATTTTCCCAGGTAGTTAGTTGAAGTGAATGTTTAAAACAGTTCAGTTTGGATAGCATGTAATTAGCACTGCACGAATAAAATGGTTTGCAAATGCATTAGAGTACTAATTTTTAATACATTGTGGAAGATGATTTGGCATCTATTATATGAAACTCTAAGCTTTCATTTTAATATCTACAAAAATCAAAAGCATGGTTTTGAAACTTCTAATAAATGATAATTTGCATGATTTCAACTTCAAAAGTTATTGTTTCAAAACCTGTACTAACTTAAGGTATTCTGGATAATTTAAAAATTATCATTTTTTAATTCATTTAGTAAAGGTATTGCTCTAATACTGTTTTTGGAATTCTAGTCAAAACAGCTTACTTTGTTTTTTATATTAAGTTGTATTTTAGTTACTGGCAAATGTGAAGTATGAAATAGTTGACAAAAGTACCTTGTGTGTTTTATTTCTACTTTTTCCAAAGGTTAGAGTGCTTATATTTATATTTCAGTATACAAATACTTTTGCTCTTTCTGTTTGGTGCAGGACTTTTCTACCAATAGAATAGACATAATATATTTTTTAAAATAAAATAGCAATTCTCTTATTAGCTTCTTCAATGTCTTCTGTGCTATTTTTTAATGATTGGACTATTTTACAGATAGTCCTCATTTAACAACCACAATTTGGAATAGCAATTATCTCATTAAGCGAAGCGTTTGCTAAGTGAAATTGCAGCTGTGCTTATGGTCTCATTTCAATTTTTCTCTGCTTTTTGGAAGTTGTAAATATGTGGAATAGTTATAAAGTTACTTTTTCATCACTGTCATAACTGAACAGTCACTAAACAAAGACTATGTAATGAGATGCTTTTACTGCAGGGTTAATAGTTTTAATATGTCATTGCATAGTATTTCAAATTAGAAAAAATGAAGTATGAGGATGAACACAATCCTGAAATTACCCATTCTGAAAGGTACCGTAAATGCCGGCGTACAAGGCGACCCGGCGTATAAGACGACCCCCGTCTTTATAGCCGGGCCGCATTCCTAGAATGTCGTCTTATACGCCGGAAACTACCAGTATTTCCGGCGTATAAGACGACTCGGCGTATAAGACGACCCCCGTCTTTGGCGCCGATTTCAGCGCTCGCGGAAGTCACCTTATACGCCGGCATTTACGGTAATCCATATGATCAATTTTTAATAAATATGTGTTTTAATTTTTAATTCCCTCTTGTCTTTGTGTAATTCATCATTCATCAGTTCGTTCCTAATCAGAAAGAACGAAACAGAAAGGGGCCTAGGAGAGTACTATTTTTTTCAAAGTGAAGCAAGTCTCTGTATGTATAATTATCTTCGTTTTCAAAGTGACCATTTTGATAATCTAATTACATTAATAGCATTATTAGATTCTCAGAGAGAACTTTGTAATGTCTTACTTAATAACTATAAAACAACATGCAATTTTGGGCAAAATGGCTTTTTTCTAGATGATATGTTACTTTTTTTAGAAAGGACATAGTGATATTAAGTCTCAGTTAATTTTTTTCATTTCTAAGCCCAGCCTAAATGTGAAGATACATTATTTGACTTACTTAGAAGTACACTTGCTTAGTTCTGTAGAATCTAAAAATATGATGTCTTGCCTTTGGGTTTCTCATTTTCTAGTTTTCTGTTTGGATTTTTAATAATTAGTTTCTCATACTATATTAAGTTATTGACAAATAGCATTTTTTATTGTAGGCACCATTCCTCTCTGCAAGAAAAAAAGCACCTTTAAGGTGGTCCTCCTTATAAATTCTTCTGATTTTCAGAGAAGGCTTAGGGCAGGGCTTTTCAAACAGTGGTATGGGTACCACCTGTGGTACATTGGCACCTGGCAGATGGTATGTGAACATCCTAAAAAAGTGGTAGTGGGGGAGGGGAATGAGCTGAACCGTTGGCAGCACCGCACAAGTCTGAGCGAGAGATGGCTGGAGCTGCAGGGCTGTCAGGGCTCAGCGGAAGCGCCAGAATCAGCGCCAGTCTCCAGCTGGAGCTCGGCGCTGATCCTGGTGCTTCTGCTGAGCCCAGAAGACGTGCCAATCAGCTGGAATGTTGCAGCATCTCCAGGGTCTTGTGATTTACATTCAGATGCTTGGCAACTGATTCATATTTATGATGGTCACAGTGTCCCAGGGTCATATGAAGTGACCAAAACCTGCTGCAACCACCCAGCAGACAGGGAGAATAAAAACCAAATACCCTCACCCCACCCCCGCTGCCAATCCTCAGCAGAAATGCTCACAACAATGGAAACCTTAGACAGGAGGAAGAGCGCCGCCGGGTGGGCAGGCAGGCGTCTTGCTCGGCTGTGGCTTGAGGGGGCACTTTTTTCAGTGCCATTGTAACTTCGAACAGTCACTAAGTGAACTGTTATAAATTGAGGACTACCTGTACTTTATCACTTTTTTCCTTTCTTTTTTTTGTCATCAAATTTCTGACACCTTGTTAGGCGGCTGGTGGTACTCGGATATTGCCATATCCTAAAAGTGGTACAATGGGTGAAAAGGTTGAAAAGCCCTGGCTTAGGGAACTTCCCAGTGAATTAGTGGACAGCTTGATTATGTACCTAGTCAACCTCGCTCCATCACTATTCTGTTCTGTTCTGTTCTGTTCTGTTCTATTTTCAAATGGTTCATCAGATTTTGGCTTTTATTGATCTTGATCTTTCTCCTTGATAGGATGGGGAGCTCCGAGATATGAAACAACAAAATAAACGCCTAGAATGATGTTACCACAGAACAGTGTTTCTCAACCTTGACAATTTTAAGGCATATGGACTTCAACTCCCAGAATTCCACAGCCAGCAATGCTAGCTGTGGAATTCTGGGAGTTGAAGTCCACATGCCTTTAAATTGTCAAGGTTGAGAAACACTGCCACAGAACAAAGAACAAATGCAATGAACATGAAATAAATCCAGATCTATGCCTTACATGATTGTGGTTAGGACAGAATAACATTGTTATTACTCAATCCTATTACATCTGTAGACTACTGTCCAGCAGCTTTATTCAAAACAACCTGGGTTTTGATGAAACGGAATACTCTACCTTGAGTGAGTTAGATTCTTGCCCCTATTAGCTCAACCAAAGAGAACACAAGAAGATGGATTAAAGATATGATGAATGTCTCTCAAATGGAACTCTCTTCAAAGAGGCAGTGGTATACTCCTTTCTTAAGAGACTCATTCCACCCAGCCATCTTGAACAACTTCTGCCTGATCTTTCCTTTTTAGAATAGATGTCAAAGAAAGTGATTCGCTTTCTTCAGAATGACATAGATGCAAAGTACTTGGATCCATTCAAGATTTAAGATTTGGGATTAAAGATATGATGAATGTCTCTCAAATGGAACTCTCTTCAAAGAGGCAGTGGTATACTCCTTTCTTAAGAGACTCATTCCACCCAGCCATCTTGAACAACTTCTGCCTGATCTTTCCTTTTTAGAATAGATGTCAAAGAAAGTGATTCGCTTTCTTCAGAATGACATAGATGCAAAGTACTTGGATCCATTCAAGATTTAAGATTTGGGATTAAAGATATGATGAATGTCTCTCAAATGGAACTCTCTTCAAAGAGGCAGTGGTATACTCCTTTCTTAAGAGACTCATTCCACCCAGCCATCTTGAACAACTTTTGCCTGATCTTTCCTTTTTAGAATAGATGTCAAAGAAAGTGATTCGCTTTCTTCAGAATGACATAGATGCAAAGTACTTGGATCCATTCAAGATTTAAGATTTGGGCATGGGTAGAAAATTGGTAATCTCCTTCTGAGTTGTCAGTATTGGTTAGGATTTAGAAGTGCTGTTCTGAAGAGTTGGTCACCTTGGTCACTGAGCAGGGGGTAAGGGGAATGAGAGATGAAATCATTGGCCATTTCATTGTGGTGAGTTCCTAGTTCCACCCCCTCCCTTATATTGACCTCTGTATGAAACTTATGGAATCTTGGCATATGTAAGGTATCAAAATGTAGGTTAGGGGTGTCAAACTACTGGCCCACGGACCGGATGCATCATGCCAAAACGCGCCCACCCCATTGCCAACAATGGAAAAAAAGTTGTGAGTAGTGCTAACTGCACTACTCTTGGAATGGGATGAATTAGGTATATTCATTTAGGCTCTTGTTATCTGTTGGTTGCATTCTTGCAATTCCTTCTACATGATCTGCCTTTGAAGACATCTCAAAAACTTCATGTGGTACAAAATGCAACGGCCTGCTTGAAGATGAGACCTATTAGAGCCATGTTATATTATTTCAGCAACTTTATGGCTGCCACTTTGTTTGCAGGGTTAGGGTTAGGGTTATGATTTGAATCTTGGATATTTTTGAGACATATACCCATATAGAATGTGCCTGCCTAATACAGTCATGTCCCCACTCTTTGGGAGATAGATGGAATGGAGACCTAGAAACAAGCTTACTTTCTGAAACAATGTGTCACCCCAGAGTTAGGTTGATTAATCACCTGCAGACTAAACACCTTCTTAACAATCTGTATCATTTACAGTATTTTGAGTACTTCATATAATTTTCTCATTTATAACGTGATAACAAATATATGTATAGCAACCAAAATCAGTGTGTTTTCTTATTAAAAAAGACTTTAGGCTTTTGTTTGCAAAAATAATAGATTGTTAAAAGGCCAGGTAATAAGTTAAAGCTCTAAGTCAGGGGCGTCAAACTGCCGGCCTATGGGCAGGATGCGTCATGCCGAAACTGCATCCACCCAATTGCCGGCAATGGACAAAAAGTCGCGATACGTCGCGACACGCGACGTTGTGAGTTTGACATCCCTGCTCTAATTCATTCTTAGTATAATACTATTAATAGAGAGCAGTGATGGTGAACCTTTTAGAGACCGAGTGCCCGAACCGCAATCCCAAACCCATTTATTTATTGCAAAGTACCAAGGCCACATCAGTTTCCGGCGTATAAGACGACGTTCTAGGAATGCGGCTCGGCGATAAAGACGGGGGTCGTCTTATACGCCGGGTCGCCTAATACGCCGGCATATACGGTAGAAACTTAATCCAGCATGGAGTTTTAATATAGAATATCTGTGCTACATTTGAATATGTCATAGTCATGAACTGAGTTTATGCTTCAGTCTTCCTGCCAGCAGGCATGACTTTGTGGTTTGTTCAGCATTGATTTCTGACTTGTGTCTTCTTAATATATTTGTATGGGCTTCCCCTATAATAATTTTGTGTGCGGAAAAAACTACATTAAAGAAGAATTCATTTTCATTTGAATCTAGATTTGGTTTGATAGTATAAGCTATGCAGATTCTATGTAATAGTGTCTATATTTAGTAAGCATTGAAGCAGCTGCATACTGTTCCAGTCAACATTTCCTAACTGACTTTGAATATAATCAGTACAAAATTTTGGTTTTATAAGAATTGATGATATAAAATTGGTTAACAGATATTCTGATTGAAGCTGTAGAGCTTGGATGATATAGTTTTTAACAAGGACAACTAGGACCGAATAGCTGCATTCAAGGGAACCTGTTGATGTCCTTCTGTTTTTGAAAATCATTCATATTATTTTGTTTAGATTTCTTAAATTGAAGTGTTCCATCTGTGTTAAAAACTGAAATTGCATAGTTAAGAGAAATGATTTTCTAAAATAGAACATACTTTTGTTATCTATTTGTCCCTTTCATTTCAGATTGAAAGCGCTGCTGATGAACTTAGAGTGCTTTGTATAGTACAAGATACTACTAATGCTAAGACAGTGAATGAGCGCATCACATTGAATTTGCCAGCTTCCACACCAGTAAAAAAACTATTTGAAGATATAGCCTCCAAAGTGGGCTATGTTAATGGAACCTTTGATTTAATTTGGGAAAATGGAGTCAGTGTTGCTAATACGGTAAAAATAAAAATCTATTACTTTTAGACGTTTGGGGAGAATACTTTTAAATGGCTGATGTACAATATTTTGTTCATTTTCATGGTATTTCTCATATTACTTTGTTTTCCCTTAATAATCCTTTTTTGTTCAAGATTGCCTTTTGTTTTCTGTGGTTGGAAGTGATGTAGGAAAAGATTTTAATGCCATTTTTTCATAAAATCATAGCACAAAAGATAACAGATAAAATATTTATTTTAAATTATTTCTTTAATTCATTTTTATTTTCTGACTTAATTGTTTTCTGAAGATGACAACATCTGCCCCAATTTTTTCTGATATCTTAAAAATATAATGCTTTGCATTAATGTGGGTATAAACACAACTAAAGTTTTATAATCCTGTAGTAGTTTTGCTTGAAAGAACAAGTAGTGCTTTTTGTTAGAAAGCATTTTTTAAATCAAGACATAGAAAATAGTTGGTAAACTCTACTGAAAATATCTATCTTTTAAAATGGGTTTCTGCCAATTATCTTCTTAAATTTACCTGTTCCATACCCTGAGTCAGTCTATCTATGATGTAATACCTGTAACATCTTTTATGAACTGATAAGAATGGAATAAAGATTTATTTATTCTATTCTATTCATTTTTATTTTTCTATTTTTAATAAGATCAAATTAATGTTCGTATTTAAAGCATAAAATAATTAGGAAATTGATGAGTTAAATGCTCTGACCTGTAGTTTTATTCTTTTACCTTCTCTTTAAAGGCCCTAGTTATACTGCACTTTCAATACCTGTGAACTTTATTTTTAGTATTTAAGTCCCAGTATGTTACCATTTAGGTCATTGGGAGCTTTATTAAATAATCATTCTAAATTAAATGACAGGCAAGCATATATTGTAATAAATGTTTAAATTGTTATTAATTTTTGGCAGAATCTTGAGAAGTACGGAAAATATTGTGTTATCTGTCTCATTTATGCTTAAGATAAAGAAAATTTGTTAATTGACAGTGATATTTCAGTATATTTATATTACTTCTATAGAGTTAAAGGAAATATGCAGCTATTCTTCTAATATCTGAATTTGGAAAATGTATAATCACAATTCTATGAAATAAACAATTTTATTTTATTTACTGTAGACACCATTGGATCCTTCGAGTGATAAATCTGTTGTTGATGCTGGTTTTGAGCCTGGGAAAAAGAATTTTCTGCATTTGACAGATAAAGATGGAGAACAACCTCAAGTAGTAGTGGTAATGATATATTCATTTGCTCCTTCTATGTCTTACCATGTTAAGATTGGTTTTTGTTCTGAGTGTTCTAATGTTTATCTTCGATTTTCATAGCCAGTAAGTAAATCCTTTCTAAGAAACAAAACTGGTCTCGTTCTCAAACATGCACTACAAAGCAGACATTTCTAATACAGTTGGAACAGCATTATGTGTCTTCAGACTGAGCTCGTTAAATAGGAGCTGCTTGTTCTGACCTTGAAACAGGAGTTTCCAGGGTCAGGATGTTCAAGAATTGCAGTGTTGTGCACACTTTGGCTATATAATGCATTTTAGAGCTAGACCAAGAACATGCAATTCTGTTGGCACTCTCCTGGTACTTGTTTTGCCTCTTGAAATCTTAAGCTTAATCGCTCTGTTAAAAAAAATACCAAACTTTTTTATCTCATGTGTTTGGAGTTCTATAGATAGCAAAACTAGTATATGCACTTCTTGCAATTCTTACTCTTAAATTCAATCTACATTCAGCTCCCCATCTGCTTCTGTAACTCATTTCCTTTTTTGTGTCTTTTGTGAAACTACCTGTAATACCAAGGATGGGATTACTATTGTGAAATGTCTTGTGAGACCATGGACTTTCTTTAATAAGCTATTTTTCATTAGTTAACTGTAAACTTGGAGATACATTAATAGATGTGTCCAATGTTTTAGGAGGAGCCTGGTGGATCAGATGACCACAATCCTGATAGATTTATAGGTCCTCTACCAAGAGAAGGTTCAGTTGGCTGTTCCAATGATTACGTCAGTCAGAATTACTCCTATTCGTCAATTCTGAACAAATCAGAAACAGGTATGGAGATGTCTTTTGTCCTTTTCCACTGGATATAGCAATATTATAATACTATTTTAAAACAACTTATGATACTATCTTAAAAAAATTTAAGTATAGGCAAAACGAGTTGTAAATCCCACTGTTCGTGTAAGGTTTTGAATGAGAAATAAGGGTTGCATAACTGGTGGAACTATAATTGCTGTCAACTATAGTTGCAGATGTGTAAGGAGACAAAATAACTCCTAGACACGGTTGTGGTTTATTTTTTCTTCCTACAGATTGTTACAAGTAATCTTTAACTAATGGGGTAATAGTCCTTACTTAGAAGAAATCCATTTTCATACTCCCCTACGCAGTTCACCTTTACTGTTGTGAATCTAATAATTAGATTCTAATAACTAATACTCTTTAAAATGCAATCATACTAGAAGGAAATGAAATTTGCTAGTATCTAGTATTTTTTCTAAGTTGTAAAGATAAGTAAAGATAAATAATTAATTAGCATTGAAGTGACACATCATACTGTGCTAAATTACAAAGTGTTTAATATCCTAATCCAGCACTGTAGTTTATTCAGATGTCCTGTTTAAGCCATGGTTTTGCTTATATGTTTCAGAATTCTGAAGAAATGTGTTTTTTGAATATCCAATAAAGCTTTAAAGTATTGTTGTTCTGAGTAGTTATTAATAGCAAAAATTTTGATTTTGAAAATTTGCAATAGAAATAATAATCAATATGCCCAATAATGCAATGTTAATTCTTCTTAAGTCTTAGTGTTATTGCTTTTTAAGATGAGCATTATTACTAACGTTATACTATTTTTTAGGATATGTGGGTCTAGTAAATCAGGCAATGACCTGTTATTTGAACAGTCTTCTACAAACTCTTTACATGACTCCTGAATTTAGAAATGCATTATATAGGTAAGTAGATGGATTTGATTAATTTTGTTATTGCCTTTTCTTGAATTATGAAAGTCTTACTAAACACCTGAGAGACTATTGCAGTTACAAAATATTTTCCTACCTACATAGGTATTTGTAATCTATTCAGTGTTCTAATGTTAATTATTGTTGAGAATAGCTCCACATACATACATACACACACACACACACACACACACACACACACACACACACACACACACTTCTGGACTTAATCCATACTCTTTAAAGCAGAGTATGACATAATAATCATCATTAATTTTCAAGGCAAGGATTTCCTGGAACATACCTGTAAAACTATTTGATATGTCATTAGTTGTAGGACAGATGCAGTGATTTATAGGGAGATTTCCTTTGCAGTCTTTTTTTCCCCTTAAACTTAAATGTGGATTCATAGTAGAGTTTAAAATTGCAGAGAAATAATAAAAATAGTTCATAACAAATAATTATAAAAACTAAAATCTTGTTGTTATAAAAGGATTTTAAAGGACTTACTACAGTCCTATTGTAAATATTTCCTGTATTTTATAGTTCAGTTAAAATTGGAGTAGGTTCTTATTTGTTATCCACTATGTGATTATGTAGCTATATTTTGGAATGTAGGAATGGAGGTATGTCTATGGAGATTCTCAGTCATCCAGCTCATGGTTGTCCTAAAAGTGCTTTTTTCAAAAACAAAGTCCAGCTGCCTTTTGAAAAAGCACCTTTGGGAATGTAGGTAGTGTTAACTTTTGCAAGAATATCTCTTAAGAATGCAGTATGATTTGATGAATGATGGCATCTCATAATATTTATACTAGAAAATGTTCTGAGTATGGAATGGGGATTATCTCTTTTAAAAAGTTTTAATATTGGGCTATAAAGATCATATATTTGGTCTTTAGCTTTTTTCAAATTGTATCTTGAAGAAATATTTCCATATCAACTTTCCTTTCAGATATTGTTTTTTACTACAAATGAATGTTAGGAACATTTCATTTTCAACAGGATGCTCTAAAATAATTTCTTTTTTTCTGTTGGTACTAATGTTTGTATTTTTTTAATAGATGGGAATTTGAAGACTCTGAGGAAGATCCAGTAACAAGCATCCCTTATCAGCTTCAAAGATTGTTTGTTTTATTGCAGACCAGCAAAAAGAGAGCAATTGAAACTACAGATGTTACACGAAGCTTTGGATGGGATAGTAGTGAGGGTAATGATAACCAAATACTTGGTTAAATTATAATTATATTAGGACATATATTGACTGACAGTTCTGATTATTAGTTATGTACTTGGTCAGGATATGAATGATTCCTACTTGGTCATATATTAGCATTCCTGTATAACTGGAGTAAGAAAAAAGCCACATATCTATTATACTGTCATATCTCAAAAACCTCTGATTAATAGCATTCAAAAAGTATCAATAGCTTAAAACTGGCTTGTGCATTTACCCTTATTTACATAGCTGTTGAGAATCGACCAAATTTAATAAATTATTATTACAAACTATTAGCCAAAATTCTCAGTTTACAATAACAGAATAATAAAAGTATAGGAAGATAATTTATAGTTTAATATTAGAAAAGATTACTTGACAACAGTAAGAGTTGTCCAAGAATAAATGGTGGACTTTTACTTTCTGCAAGCAGGTTGGAAGACATTTCTTGAGGATGGTTTAGTATGTTTTCCTGCATTAAGCAGAGTTGATGGCCTAATTTCTTGGTTCTATTATTTAGTTTGCTTAACATCGTGACAAAGATGTTAAACTATAGTTGTGAATCGCTGTTGTTTTTTAAAAAAATAATGTTTGAAAATAATTTTGAGGTCAGCCAAATGACATAGGTAGAGAATTTTCAGCAGTAAAATAAATTTAGCATAATGTGCTTTTGTAACTGGGCTAACAAATTGCTGTGATGGGATGTATGCTTGTATTAATTAAATAAGGTCACTTTTGTTTTACAATAGCATGGCAGCAGCACGATGTGCAGGAACTCTGTAGAGTCATGTTTGATGCTTTGGAACAAAAATGGAAACAAACGGAGCAGGTATAATATTTTTGGGTTTGTTCTTGAGATCACAAGAAATAACAAATAATTAGAATAGTTAATAAAACAGTGCTATACTAATCCTAGATTTAAAGGCTAGTTTTAAACATTGAGGTGAAATGGAAAAATTGTGCATTGTTTATCCAGAACTGTTGAAATTTGAGGAATTAATTTTGTATACATTTTATATGAAGTGTCATTGTTTTGCAATATAATACTCTGAGAGGCATCTTTAAGTGGATTGTAGTCTCTTTCCATCACGGGAAAGGAAGAGTTATGTGATCCTTCTGGAACTTGTATCTTACTTCCTTTCTTCAAGTTGAAGTCTCCTGGTAAAATCTCCTTTACTCAGGAGCCATCCTAATTCTTTTGAGGTTGTCTTTTTTTCCCTCACAGCCTTTGAAATTCAGTCTATCTTGTAAAAAAGATATAAAAATATATAAAAAGAACTTTGTTATTCCTTTTTTTGTGTTTTTGCCAAAAGCTGCAACTTGCTACTTCCAGACTTGTTCCTATGGGTCTCATAGTGCTTCTGTATATATATGCCTATAGAGACCTCCCCCCTCCACTACCATCAGTTTTCAGATGTGAAATCTCAATACTTAATGTGAAAGCAAGCATTGTTGCTGGAGGAAACAATTGATAACATCAGTTGAGCACTAATGGGCAATTCAATTCAGTTGTGATATTGCTCACAGAAAACTCTGGTAGTCTATGCTATTCAGCACTGTCTCCATCATGCTGTGCTTCAAATAGATGATTTCCATTTAACATATTTACACTTCTACAAATGCAAAATAGTGTCAAAGCTGTTGTCCAAAGGAGATCTTGCAATATCTCCTACAATATCTTCTACCTGATCTTAATCACAATATGGACTCCTTGCACAAAGTGGTCTTTGATCTTTAATTAAAGGTGTCTGAACCAGTCAGTAGACTGATATTTAGCTACTATGCAGAAGTTCCTTAAAAAGCTATTACTTGTGAGTCCTTTATATTCATGAAATCTATATATGGGTAGTTCTTGACTTGCAGTCATTTGTTTAGCTACTATTCAAAGTTACAACAGCACTGAAAAAAGTGACTGGAGACGGGTCTAGATTCTTTATGGCAATTCAGCATTGAATCTGGATCACATGACTCCTGCTTTTCCCTTTTTGTATATATCCATTATGTCAATCTTTATTAATTTTCCACTGTTTCTTGTCCTGCTCAAGAATGTATACATTTTGAAATGTATATATTTGAGTAAAATATATTTGCTTATGTATTTCAAGTAAAAGTATGTTAAAATCATTTTATATATGAATATGAACTGTAAAAAAGGACTTAAAATGTGAACACCATATGTATTCATGAATATATATGAAATTGATATGGGCTTTCAGGGGAATTAGGCATTTATTTTTAATTAGAATTGAAATAAGCAGAATTCTCATTAAACACGATTAAGACAAATTGGATAAATAAATATCTGCCATGAAATGTTCAATTCTATTTTCAGTTTAAAAAGTAACTGAAAATAGGCTGATATAATGAATACCAGAGCAATAGCTCTGAATTTTAAATATATTCTATTTTTTTTGTTTAGTTTAAAGCAGTGGTTCTCAACCTTTCTAATGCCGTGACCCCATAATACAGTTCCCCATGTTGTGGTGACCCCCAACCACTTATACATCACCGGGTGCCAGGGGCGTGGCCAAAGAAAGGGGGGAAAAAATGGCGGACAGTCTTGTTTGGCAACCCCCATGAAATGGTCGTTTGACCCCAAATGGGGTCCTGACCCACAGGTTGAGAACCACTGGTTTAAAGAATGCTATTAATAAGCTTAAGGATGAAAGGCACAATTTAGAATACATATCCTGAACTACTATTATAAAGTATTTTTTTGCAGTTTAGAATATGTTAGCCAGCTAAACTTAAATTCTTCAGGAAATAACGCTTCATAAAGGTTAACAAATTTGTTTTTGGAATATTGAAATATTTTTTTTTTCCTTAAATGCAGGCTGATCTCATAAATCAGCTCTACCAAGGCAAGCTGAAGGACTATGTAAGATGCCTGGAATGTGGCTATGAGAGCTGGAGAATTGATACTTACCTGGATATTCCATTGGTTATTCGACCTTACGGCGCCAATCAGGCCTTTGCTAGTGTGGTGTGTATGTTAAACTGAATGCTACTGTGTCTTTCTATATAATAATGACACAGTACTGTCACTTCTTTAAAGGTAAGCATCATCCTGGAAACTCCATCTTGGGTTGTCCGTCTTTGTGCAGTAGACCAACTAGCAAGCTTTAGAACACCCTTCAATGAGTTCTACTAGTGCATGTTTGGGAAAAGGAAAGCAGTCGATTAACATGTGAAATCTTAACATTCCAGATGCAATAAAACAACCCATCTTCTGCCTTTCTTGTAGAAAAATGTACTTTTGAAACATATTATGGGGTTTATATGAATTAATTATTCTGAAACTATTGGTAAATATTACAGCAAATAGGAAAGGAATTCCTATTTGGAATTCCAGATAGGCTTTTGATTGGATTAGGGAAAGATAACTTTAAATTGGCAGTATTAAGATGCCTCTGGAATATTCACTAAAGTCCCAATAAACTATTATGCATGGAGTTTGAGACCAAATTTTCTCTGATTGGACCCATATTACCAAATCAGTAATTGAGCACTATCTAGTTCCCTCCAACCTCTCATACTAGCCATCTTGCTTTATTCAGGATGCTTAGACTGGGATAACCAGTGATTATCTGTTTATAAGGGCGACTCATACTGACTAATATAAGTGAGACGGGAAGGATTACTTTGAATTGAAAATAGACACGCTAATCACTCCAGTTTTCTTAACTACCTTCCCATCATGGCACTATGCAGGCAACAAAGGGTGGATTTAAAAAAAAAAAACCTCACAGTTCTTTGAATCAATCTGATTCCTGTTGAAAACATGGCCAGATCCATACAGTTTTCTGTCAGTATTTTCAGAAGTTTGCCATTCCGTTTTACCTAGAGCTGAGAAAGAGTGATTAGCAAAAGTCATTAGATGTCTTTGTCTCCAAGAGAGCTGGTACATTTCCCTGTCTGCCTTTCTGAATTGTAACTTTTTAATGATATTCCTAAATTGATACTTTTTACAGTGTATAACTTAAATTTGATTTTTTTTTTACCAATAGAGTTTGTATGGTTAAGGTTTCAAAACAAGACTTTATAGACAGCTTTAAAAACAAGGGAATTAAATTAGTATTTAAATCAGTGGTTCTCAACCTTCCTAATGCCGCGACCCCCAACCATGTGGTCGTAAGTCGAGGTCTACCTGTATTTCCCTGCAGGCGGGACAGGAGGAGGCGCACACACTCCACCTCCTCTCCTGCGGCTGGAGCGCACACTGGGCAGGCCGAGGGTGCATGAAGGCCGTCGTCCAGCAACCGCCTTGGCCCGGGAGCACCGCACATGCATGGTGCCGCCCCCTGCACCGGCCGAGGCATAGCTGGCAAGCGGCAGCGACGGCGCAGGCCGACTACTGGCTGGGCCGCCAGCTGGCCCAGCCCAAGACAGGTAAGCCACCCGCCAGGCCCCACGCACGCCAGCAACCCTCCCTGCACCTGCCGCTGCCCCGCTAGCCTTACCTTGGCCACTGCATGTTTGGTGCGGCAGGCAGGCCAGGTGCTCCTGGGCGGCCATGGCACGCGGCAGCGAGGGCGTAGGGCGACCACCGGCTGGGCCACCAGCTGGCCCAGCCCGCCGGGCCCCACGCACGCCAGCAACCTCCCTGCGCCTGCTGGCCTCCCACCCCTGGCCCTCTTTTACTTACATTTAGTAGTTGCTCAGCAGGGAGGGGTGGAAACGTCCAGAAAGCTCACCTTAGCTGCAGACAACTTGCAACACCGTTTGCAGACTGGGACTTTTGGCGGGCTCAGCAGGGCAGAGACAGCCTGGACAATTCCTATTGGCTTTTGAAAGCCAATAGAATTAGACTCTATTCAAGAGAGTCTATTCTATTGGCTTTTGAAAGCCAATAGATTCTATTGGCTTTTGAACGCCAATAGAATAGAGTCTCTTGAATAGAGTCTAGTCTATTGGCTTTCAAAAGCCAATAGAATAAGAGGGAGTAGCACAGCTAAGGAAAAGAGGGAAAAAATGGCAGACTGCGTTGTTTGGCGACCCCCATGAAACGGTCGTTCGACCCCAAATGGGGTCGCGGCCCACAGGTTGAGAACCGCTGATTTAAATGATTACAGTGATGTAGTCTATTGAACAAATAAACCCACAATTTCTTTAGTTGTCTGATCTTCCAGTTGCATTTATTTATTTATTTTTAAAAACGAGTGTATATTTTATAATCTCAGTTAAGATACAAGATAGATATATACAGGCATAGATGCTTATTAACATGTTCTAGTAGGTTCAAGTTACCAGCCTTTTTTTTCAAGAATTTGAATCTAAGCAAATGCTAACTTCTTGCCTAATTAGGCTTTTGCTCCTAGCCCACTTTTGCTGATCTTGAACAGTTAGAGTTACAGCTCCTTTAAAATAGAGTTACTATTTTAAAGACAATGTTAGGCCTAGCCAAAACATGATGTAAAACAGCGGCTCCCAACCTTTTCTATACCCTGCACCCCTAGAACGCTTCTGATGTATTCTTGTACCCCTTACAAAAGTTCGAAATAACGGCAACAAATTATGCATATACACTATAATTTTGAAAACTCAAGTTTTTGCACCCCCTAGAATATTGTTTTGTACCCGTAAGGGTGTGAGTACCCCCCGTTGGGAACCCCTGACGTAAAACAATCCAGCCAAAGTTTAGTTGTTTATTTGCGCATACCATATAGAAAGAATCTTGCAGGCTAAACCTAAACTATTTTACCCTAATGAATATGCACTGGGAGATTCAATTAGGCAGATTCCATGCCAGACGACCAAGAGATAGCAAACTTGTAAGTTAGACAGGAAGTTGAAAAATATCCTTGAAGATGACAAAGGCACTCATTTCTGTACTGTTGCCAAGAAAATGACACTAGTCCATGATAACACCAGAAGCCAAGGTCACCTTGAAATAATCTTTACTAACTAATCAGTTGTTAGATAGCCAGTGGAGTGCGATAATCTTTCTGATTTTAAATAAACGGTATGTAGAAACCTTTATGCTTTATTAAGTTTGATATGCTATGCAATTTAGCAGATGCTACATTTTTATGTATATAAAACCACTATAAAATATTCTTATAAATAGGATATTTAGGGCCTCCATATTCTGATTAGTTTGTTTTTAATGGAAAATTATCTTGGATAATGAGAGCTAGTTGAATAAAATGCTCTGTTGGTGTTGTCTTTCTATTGGTAAAATATTAAGGGCTGGTACTTCAACAAAGAAGCAGTTTTGTTAAATAACATAGGGTTCTTTTTTTTCTATATTTATTCTAACTAAGGAAAAAAAATTCCTGATATCAAGTACCTTACAGATAGTCCTCGACTTATGACCATTTGAGGTTTTGGTAGCGCTGAATGAAAGAATTAAAAATAGGTCCCTGAAATTATGGCCATTGTTGCACCTCTGCAAAATTTGGGCACTTGGCAGCATGCCCATAGTTACAGTTGCAGAAGCCCCCCCCCCCACACACTTTTTGGTTCCTTGTAGTCAGCAGCTTCTGCTGCCCTAGCCAGGCTTTACCATCTTCTTGCTGCCTCTGCTGGCCAAGTTTGTCTGACTTGGCCCTTTGTAAGGCAGCTGCTGGCTACACAAGGTCACACATGGCTGTTTCCTCACAAGACCTGGGGAAGATATCCTCCTGTGGCCAGTAGTTGTCTCACAAAGGGCCAGGCTAGACAAATCTTTTAAACAAGTTTTATTAGTTTTTTTCATTTTACAAACAAGTGCTTAAGAATCAACGTGGTGGCAGGGCAATCAATTGTCCAAAAACAAAGTCATACTCATAAAGTTCAGATTAAATCATTAAAAAACCCCTCTCTATTCCCTCTAATAACATATTATATTCAAGTTCATGTATTTCAATATAGCTAAGTCAATCAAAACAATCATCAATAACATTTCATCTAAATCAGTGTTTCTCAACCTTGACAATTTTAAGGCATATGGACTTCAACTCCCAGAATTCCACAGCCAGCATTGCTGGCTGTGGAATTCTGGGAGTTGAAGTCCACATGCCTTAAAATTGTCAAGGTTGAGAAACACTGATCTAAATTAATCCAAATCCTATATTAAGCTTTACTATTTCAATTGCTATATTCCATATTGCTAATATAAATACATAATTAACACTTCAGGTGTCTCTCCATTCCCTTTTTCCTTAACATAATAAACAGTTATTAATATCATTTCTTCTTTTTTCTTACTCTTCTTCCATTACAAAATAGCTATCATTTCTAATAAAAAAAATATTAGTTCAAAAAAGAAAAGAGAAAAAACAAACAAAAAGAAAAACAAAGACAAAGACAAAACAAGAAAGAGAAAAAAATACCTTTCTATTTCTATTATACTTTATAATCTATCAATCCCTCAATATCTGTGTCAAACTCTTTTAACCTCCTCCCAAAATTACTATATCCACAACAAACATGTTAATACATAGACAAATATCCTCTTATTAAATTCAAACCTTTATAAATTTCTATTCCATGTAACATCTTATTTAACTGTCTTAAACCATAAATCAGTCCATATCCTGTAAGCCATATAAAGCTTAAGTCACACTCTTAAATCTTATTCTAGCTTTCTTTTTATGCCAGACAGGTTTCCATAACAACGCCTCTATATCAATGAACAAGTCACTTTTTATGCCTTGTAGTTTCCTTTGGGTCAAACAAAAGTGTCCCCTTTTCTGTTTTAAAGACCTGGCTCCTTTGTTAGTAATCCCTTGTTGTTTTAAAGAGTCAAGTCTCCACATCTGAAACTGTTGAATAGCAGGCTCAATTATGTCCAAGTTTGTAGTTAATAGTTGCTTATCCAAGCTACCATAGTTCTCAGTTAGTTGAGCTTATCTGTCCATTTCTGTTGATTTTAAAGTTGTAAGTGGTTTAGTTACAGTCCTTTTTAGTTCCTCGGAGATCTCATCAGCATGCATATGAAGTAAAGTAGAATCTTCTTTAACCTTAGTTGATTGCGCTTCTGTTGTTTTTTGGTCTATATAG